ACAGTAAGTTAATCACTTTACTGGTTTAAAATTAATATAATAAAAGGTACATTGAGATATTTAATATTGATTTGGTCAAGGTTTTCTTCTTATTAACAAACCTTTTCTCTTCTCTTCTGACACCAGCTCTTCTCTTGATAATTCCAGACTATGTTTTATAGCAGCAATTATCCTTCCCTAGATAGTGCATTTTTGAAAAGGTAAGTTGTTAATTACAATATTTTTTTGGGAGCACTTCAATTTTATTAATTACTGTGTTTATTATTAATTGCACTATTGTTTTTACTATTCACTTCCTATCTCTTTTTTGCATTACAATAGTATTGCTATTTATATTATTGCTACTATTAGAAAACAATTAAGGAAAAATGAACTATTGGAATTAAAATAGACTATCAAGTAAGTTATCTAAGCTTCTATAACTATATTTTCTATACTAATTGTTACTTATACTCTGCATTTTCAGGGTACATGACATAATAATCACAATATGCAACTATATCTCAAGACTTTTACTAGGCTAATACTATATATATTAGCATAGAAACAAATTTTCTGATGAATATATAAGAATAAAAATAAATAAGTAAAATAGGAAATATTCTAGAGCAACAAGCACAGTGCTAAAAAATAACAAAAATAATAATACAAGAATTATTCTAGAATGAACAACACTTCAAGAGTAAATGCTAGTAAAAATTAGACAAGGAATAGTGATAATCTTGAATGAAAATCAAGTATAACAATATATAATGTGGTGATCATAATACATAACTATATCATGTGATTTTTTCTAGGCTAACAATATATAGCAACAAAATATTATTCTGTTTTAAACTTTAATTAAATAACTTATTCAAATAATTAAATGATTGTTTTTTTGGTTAAAATATTAATAATAAAAAATAATTTTTTATTTAACTATTTGAAATTAACTTTTTTTATTTTCGTTAAAACTACTTTAAACTAATTAAGCTAAAACTTTAAAAAGTACTGAACTGGTATCAAAATAGTATTGATTTATAAAAAATTTAATAATAGTCAAAAAGATCAGAGATGATATTTATATGTAGTCTAACTTGTTATAGAAATAAAATTGAATATTTTTAGTATAACACTAAAATATAATTGTTGTTATTGATATTTAAGTAATTAATTATGGTTTAAAAATTTATTGATATATTTAGAATATTCATTTCTTAAAATAATAAATCTATTTAAAATATATTGTTTTTAATTAATTGTATAATAAAAAAGAATATTAAGAAAAATAAGATATTTAATATTATTTAAAAAAAACTCTTTTTTGATTATGTTTGTTTTGTTAAAAAATTTTCTTTTATAATAATTTTAAGCAAAAAATATAGTTTACTCTCTTTATCACAAGTAAATACCAGTTCAGGAACTCAAGAACCTTTAAGACAACTGATGCAGTGGAATGGGATCTCTGATTAAAGTCTACTCAAGTTTGAAAGTTTTGCTTATCCTTTAGTTACATAAGAAAAGGCCTGTAGCAGTTTTCTTTTCTTTAGTTTTCTTGTATTCCTTCTTTCTTTATTCTATTATAAAAATTATTCACATCATTACTATTATACTCATTAAATCAAATACTTTTCAAAATATATACTTAAGCAAAGTTAGTGGTTTACTTCTTGTTTTAAGTTAACCCATATACATTGTTGGACTGGAAAATGGCAAGTTGGTCGCTTCACTGGTCCAAAGATAGGGTTATTAAAGATATGTTAAGGCATGTAAGATTGATTTAGCCAGGGCTTTCATTATTAACAAGCTTCTCTTTTTTTTCTCAACACCAGCTCTTCTCTTGATAATCCCGGGCTATATCCTATAGTGGCAATTATCCTTTCATAAATGGTGTGTACTTAAAAAGGTAAGTTGTTAATTACAATATTCCTTATTTGACATTTCAATTTTATTAATCACTATGTTTATTAATTGCACTATTGTTTTATCTCTATCTTAACTATCTCTTGAACTAACTTGATCTGTCTCAACTCTCTATCTTTTTTCTTTTATTTCTATTTCTATTTCTCTTTTTAATCGTATTGCTATTTATATCATTGCTACTACTAAAAACAATTAAGGAAAAATAGATTATCGGGGTTAAAACAAACTATGGATAAGTTATATAAGCTTCAATAACTACATTTCCTATGCTGATTATTAATGTTATACCATATTTTCAGGGTATGTGACATAGTGATCATGGTACGTGACTATATACTGTGACTTTTATAGGGCTAACAACATAATATTTTCATAGCAATAATTGTTGTACTATTTCCAATCTCCAAAAATTTTTTTCCAAAAAAATGAAATCAGTTTATCCCCTTCAGATAATTAGTACCTCCAATCATCCAATCAGATTTTGCTTAAAGATTAAAAAGAAAATCAAACAAGCATAAACCAGTTTTGTATTACAACAACAATTAATTCACTACTAATAACTATAACAATAAACAATGTCATATGTGTTCTATTATTTATAGAATCTGAAGAATCAGAGAGATGGAATAATGAGTCTGTCTAGAGTTCTTTTATTATACACATGAATCTTATAGTATATTTGATTTAGTTTTAGTTATAGTTATTTTTACTTTTCTTTTTAATTTTTATATAAAAAAAATCAAAAGAATTTATAAAATTTACTGAAATGCTAGGTATAGCTACTACTCAATCTTATCTAGCACATTAATATTAATTTTTAATTTTTTTATAATATTAGTTAAATATTGTAAAATAGACAAGCTGGTATTTAATTTTCCAGAAATAATAAAAGAGATATTGTTTCTTTTATAATTTATACTTGTTATATACAAATCAAATAAAGAAATGATATTTACCTAGTGGAGAAATCTCTCTTCCAAAAAAAAAGATATTTAATAATATTTATATTTGTAGAATAGAAAACAAAATAATAATAAATTATAAATTTTATAAATTTTTTTTGATAATTCTATCAAAATAAACAAATTTAAAGTATTTAACAAATAAATTTAATTATTTGACTATATTAATATAGAAAATAATAATACTGATATATTGGAAAAGGTAATAATAGACTTCAAACAAATATTGAATAGTAAAAAAGAAAATACAAAATCATTTTCAAAAGTAAACAAAATAAAGATTACAATTTTTAATAATAAGAAAGCAAATAATACAATATTTATCAAATTGTCTTTTTTGAAAAATTTCTTTAATTAATTTTAGATTATTTAGAGATAAATCATTATATAAATAATTAGTATGAAAAGTTTAATCTATTATAGTTATAAATACCTTTTAAGAATTTTTTTTTATAATTTTTTTTAGATAGATGTGCAGTAGAATTTCTAATGATATTGTTTTAATATCAAGTCAATATTAAAAACAATATTATTTCAATACTATTTCAATATCTGTTTAGAATTCTAGTAAATAGTATTTATAATTATTACCAATTTGTTTTATTTTAAAAAAATAAGATTCTTTTTATTTGTTAAGATTGTTATACAAAGCTTTACTTAATATTACTTGAAAATTTTAGTTTTATATACAGTATATTGAATAGTTATTTAACTTAGAATATTCTAACTTTTATAATATATTTTATAATTGAAATATTTTGTATGTAATTTAGTATATTTTTTTCTAAAAATGAATGACACATTTTCTTAGTTATCAAGATAACAATACAAAAGTTTATACAAATAAAAAAACCTATAAATAAAAAGAAAAATAATAATATTGAATTCTTATTATTTCTAGCACTGTTATCAGATCTTAACTCTTTGGAAAACCTTTGAAAAATTATTAAATATCAAACTCAAAGGTGCAAGTTATTTCTATTAACAACATTACAAAAGAATTAAAAAAATTAAAAAATGATAATTTGTTTAATTTAGTTGAAAGTATGTCAAGTGAATTAAAATGGTAATTAAATTAAAAGAAGAGTATATTAAATATTAAAGTTAAAAAAAATATTGAATGTGATCTAATAAAAATATATTAGCTAAAGAGAAAATAATTTAGCAAATAATGAATACATTTGATATGCTGTACTTAATCAACATTAAAATAATAATAATAATAATAAGACAGAAAGAAAATAAAACGTGTAGTCTATTATCTTACTCTGCTAACTTAATTATATTGCTTATAATAATTAATTGTTGATATTTAGGTTATATTGCATCATAAGAAATCAAAATTACATTATATACAGTATATCCGACAAAGAATATCTGACCTTGTAAAATTGTCAGAATCAGAAGTGTTGTGTGCATCCGGAGCATATTGACATGTATTTAAAGTAACTATGAAAAAATATTTTTCAATTATATTTAACATTACATTATTTTAAATTGATAATTTAATATTTACTGATTAATATTAGAGCTTCATTTATCATCAATAATGGACATAACGGATATAAGATGAATATCATTAAATTGATACCTTTACATACTATACATTATGTCCTTCGCATAGCTCCGGACAACTAGAAAAACTATGAAAACTTTGATAGCTTTTGAATATCGATTTTGAAAAAAAAAACTAATCTTATTAATCATTTATGGAAAGGCAATAATAACTCAAATTTATTTTTACATGAATATTGTGAACAAAGGGATATGAGAAATCCAGAAGTTTAAAATACTTGCACGGCCTTCAATGTTACAAGATCAAAATTCTATCAAATAATTGTGACGACTTCTAAAATTAAATATTAAAAAAAATTAGAATACTGTATATAGCAAGTCAAAGAAAGAATGAAACAAATTTCGGCTAATAGTATAAATAGAAGCTGATAGCGACTAAACATTCTACTAAAGTTTAGGTTGATATTGTGGTTTTAAATATACTGTACTGTATATACTGCTTATGATCGTTATTGTACACTACGTTTAAAAATTGTATGTTAACAAGAATACTGTATATAATATGTGGTATAATTTACCATTTATAATATGGAAGTACGCTCATATCGGGATAGATTGCTAGAAGGATCCTGCTTTCTCGTCAAACTCGCTATCAAAAATCCCCTTTATTCTGTTCCAGAATCTAGTCATTACGAATATAGTGTATGACGTGCTAAAGATCTCGGCATAAAGATGAGTGGGTAAACTATACTTAAATCCTAATAGTCGATAGATACACATTGCTGAAAGTTGTAATATATCAATTGAAAAGAGAATTATCTGATGGATAATATCTCGATAATTTTGTTCATTTTTTGTATGTTTTACAATGTGAAGAAGTTCCCTGTAGAAGATAAACTCAAGAATAATGTAGTAAATGCGAAAAAAGGGTACCATCATTTCTCGCATTGTCGAAGAAGTGGGTATAAATGAACATGCTGGACTACAGTACGATCCCTGGCACTCGATAGCATCTAGTGTGGTTATTATCACCAAGGAAGTAATTTCTAAGGCGCGTATTACAAGAACAATACGATGGAAGCGTTTAAACGCTAGTCTCCCAACTGGCTCATAGATCGATTTACATCGTTGATACGCAAGATGCAAAATACCCGTTTTAGAAATGGTATATGAAACGTATTTAATTACATCCAGCGAGTAAAATAAACGTACGGAGGTGTAATCAGAACACCTTGTAAAACTCACAGCGCTAGCGCGGCAGCCTGGACTTTCCCTAGCATTTGAACAATTTGAACTGGCGATTATTTGAGGTAGCATGATTATTTCGTTAACAAGGACTGCTAGGTTGACAGCATAGAGGAGCCACTTGGCCTCCTTAATGTTATTCTTTACTAGTGTCCTGGAAAAAGAATCGGTAGTTAGGATAAAACTTGCGGATAGAAGCCATGTTGATGCAATAACTCCAAGCGGACCGATGGAGGTTGAATCTGTTTTTAATTCGACCATTTTTTCAAGTTTTGTATTGTGGTGATATTCGTGATTATATTTATTTTGAATTTTTGAATTGGATTAACAGATGTGCGTTTAAGTCTCGGTGAAATACAAAAATTCATGAAGCCTAGGCACAATTAAGTATAAGTATTTATTGGTTAGTTGCCTGTGTACAAATATAAAGGTCACATTCTGATCAAGAATATCGAGTGCATATTCATTGTAAATATTTACATAGTTGAGAAGTTCTACAGTACTGTCTAAAAAATTTCAAAATTATTGTGCCACATTGTTCCACAAACGAAAATAGAATATAGTTCTATTAATTATTTTTTTATACACCGAACAAAGTTGTAATTTATATGATGATCAGAGATTACGTAATTTTCTTGCTTAAATTATCGTTTTTTAAATAATCGGTTAATCGACGGGAACTTATGCGAAAATTGAGCAGATTGTTCATTGTTGTGATATGATTCGTCACCACTTGAAAAGTGGTTGGAATCGCTATCCAATATTTCAAATACTTCATAGTCTTTCACCTCGAAGCTCCCACCAGATGGTCTTATAGGATATTCATAATTATCTTCCATGACAAACCATTTGTCCTTTACAAATGCACTTGACTTCAATGTAAGGTCATTGAACCCAAAGCACGGACCAAAATCACTGTCATAATATATTGCCTTCTTTGGATTAGTCACATGACTTTTGATTGTATGCCCTTCATTAAACGAAAAAATAAAGCTCTTAGTTGTTTCTACAAATCTTCCTGATTTTACTTTTTTCCATGAAATTGGATTATAGCCCCCTAGAATTTCACCTGTTCCTTTCACCTCCAAAACCAGCACTGTTTTGGATCTATTATTACATATTCTAAGGAAATCTTTAACTGTGAATCCTTCTCGACTACCGCGAAAGACTAGTCGAAACTCGTAGAACCCATTTTCGCCAATCCAAGAAGCTATTCTTGCGATGTGTTCTTGATCAATAATATTTGATGGTGCTTCCTCATACATCTCAAAAGTTGGTCGATTCAGGTGCTCCAGAACGTCCTTTATATTCGGGCGGATTTCTGGAAAGGAATCCCAGCATTTTTCATAAAGTGTAACGTATTCGTCTGGAACATTTTTTGCCGGATTTTCTCTTTCTCCATTCAACACTAGCGAAATTATATCAATCGGTTTTGTTTCTTCAAATGGCACTTTTCCAGCCGATATTTCCCAAAAAACAACGCCAAGACTGTAGATATCTGACTTCTTGTCACGTTTGTATGGAGTATCTGAGAAACATTGAGGGTCAATATAAGCAATTAGCCCACGAACCTCCATACTTTGATATGGTTGATCTATTCGACGGGCCAAACCAAAATCTGTAATCAGTATTGACCCCTCGTGAACAAGAATATTGTAGGTATTCTGTATTGATCCAATAAGGAATAAGATTTAGATATAGATATATTAATTAAACGATAGATGTTGCAAAGTTACTTACAAGATCTCTGTGTACAATATCGTGCTCATGCAAGTTTTTCAGTCCTCGAGCAACTTCCCTTGAAATTCTCAATTTATCGGCCCACGATAATGTTGAAAAGTTTTTGCTTAAAAACGTTCTCAAATTTCCTTGCTCCGCAAATTGTAAGACGATACTGTAAGATCCGTCAGGATCGGCAGGATCTATTCATTATAAAAAATGGTATAGTTATGATTTGAAGAATTTATAGCAGAAATCTGCTTGTTTACCTTGGGTTACCCCGTAAAAATCAACAATATTTGGAAAACGACTAATTTCTTGAAGATTTTTTAGCTACAAGATGATAGGAATAAGTAAATAGAAAGTCACATGACACTCGTTCCATAAAACATTACATTACCTCTTGTATGAGCTCTTTGTTATCGAGCTTCTTTATTCTCTTAATAGCTACCGTAAGGCCAAAGGTTTTCCAGCTCGACTTTAATATAATTCCGAATCCACCTTCACCGACTTTTACAATATCTTCAAATTGCTCATAGGGGTAAACTTTGATATGCCTATTCTTTATTGCCTTTTCTAGCCATATTTTTGATGATTCGGTTGCGTCTGCAATTTTTAAAGATCTAGACATGTTTATAAATTATCGCGCAAGACTTTTACGTTTCAATAGTTTAAAGATTTTCGGGTTGCCTTTTTATGCAAACAAATATTTCCATTCATTAACACAAATAAGTGATCACATGAAGGCAGAGACGAATACAAATCTGTTTTGATAATGTACTGTATATCACATTGCTGGGAGTACAAATTAATTATGGTTAATCCTAAACCTTATTTTTATTTTAGTAATCTTCCTAAAATGGCAATGGGAAGGTGCGTTGTTCGTAACCTACAGTAATTGTAAAAAGAAAAAAGAAAAATACAGTATCATTATTTGATCACAAGGTTTGATAAATAATTTTTTTATTTCCATTTTATTTTCCTTTGTTTTTTCCAAGAGAATACATTTCCAACCATTCGGTGGATATTTTAATTAACAAGTCACCAATCAATTGTACCGTAAAACAGCGCATTCCGTTACTTTTTTATTGATATTTTCCGAGGTAATGTAGATTGACGAAATCATCTGATATACAGTCTATTATAAAAATTTTTGGATTAATATTTTTTAATATAATTTTATAAATTATTATTTGATTTCAAAAAAAAAAAGAAAATAAAATAAAGAAAGAAATAAATAAATAAATAAAAAATTTTAACTATAAAAAGTTTATTGAATATATTTTCATGTAAATTAATTTTATTTGTAAAGTCAATTTTAAAAAATCCATAAAATTTGAATCTATAGGGATTTGGAAAAATTGAAAAAATTTTCATTTAATTTTATTTCATAAAAAGATTTTTTTAATTAATAAAAAAATCACAAAAAAATCATTTATTTATTTATTTATTACTTTTATTTGACAAATTTATATATTAAAATAAGTTTTAATTTATAATATTCAATATAAATTTAAATATAACCTTGAAATTTTAAATCAAATTTTAATGAAATTCTTATAATATTACTAAAAAATCTTTTTAAGTAATGTTATTTTTTTTTTGATCTTTCAACACATATGTTCATATTTTTATTATTTTTATCAAATGATTATTGATTTATAAATAAAATAAACAATTAAATATTAATTTAAAGACTTTCGTCACAGACTGTATGTATTATATTTCATAAAAATACTCGTGAATGCTAATGTCAATTAATTCCTCAAACTGAGTTATAAAAACTGAAAATTTTAATAATAAATGCTTAATAAAAAAAACTCTAAAAATCGCATCATTATATGTAGTGGCAAAAATCTTGATATAAAGAAGCCTGACAGCTTAAAAATTAGAAAGTGTATCTAATTATAATTATTATTTAACGTTTTTTTTTTAAAATTTAATTACAATTGAATATGATAATATTTATTTGCAATAAGTATGGTATTTTTTGTCAATTGTCTTCCTTTACTGTACATTAACTACAATATGGGACTTATCAAACCATTGTATATATTATTATTTGTACAGAATACTAGAAGGGCTCTGTTTCTCAAAAAACCGGCTATCAAAGATCCCTTTTATTTTATCTCAAAATTCTATTCATAACAAAAATAGTAAATGCTGTGCTGTACAGCTCGAAATAATAGTGAGTAGGTGGATTATACTTTAATCCAAATAATCGATAAACACACGTAACTATACGTTGCAATACGTCTATCGTTATGGTGAACGAGGTCCCGATAGCTTTGTCCTCTTTTTGTGTATTTTAAAATGTAAGAAGTTCTCTGTAAAATAGAAACTCGAGAATAATATAATAAACGCGAAAAAAGGGCAACATCATTTCTCGTAAAGTCGAAGAAATAGATATGAATGAGCATTCTGAGTTACAATACGATCCCAGACACTTAACAGCATATAGTGGTAATTATCATCAAGGAAATAAATTCAAAGGTGCATAATGCAAGAACAATATGATGAAAGCGTTTAAACGATAGTCTTCGAACTGGCACATGGACTGATTTATATCATTGATACGAAAGATGAGAATACGCGTTTTAGCAATACGTATGCAGCGCATTTAATTGCATCCGCTGCGTAAAATAAGCGTACGGAGGTGTAATAAGAACACTTTGTGAAACTAACGGCGTTTGCACGACAGTCTGAAATTTCCCTTGTATTTAAATAATTTAAACTGACCATAACTCGAGATAAAATTATTATTTCGGTAACCAGGACCGCCAGATTAACGGCATAAAGAAACCACTTGGCCTCCTTGGTGTTATTATTTACGAGTGTTCTTGAAAAGAATCGACCGTGAGAATAAAGCTTGCAGAAAGAAGCCACGATGATACTATAATTCCAATCGGACCGAGGTAAGTTGAATCCATCTTTAATTCGATCATGTTTTGTATTGTAATAATACTTAATGAATACGTTTACTTTGGATTTTTATTTTGGTCTCGATAAAAAGCAATGAAACCCAAGTATCGTTAGTTCGTTGTTTATAAGGACAAAGGGTCACTGGATGCACGTAATGACCAAAGGTTTTTATTACTAAATATTTACGTATTTGAGAAGTTTTACGTGAAATAAAAGGAAGGATTATTAGAATTTTAAGAAACAAATGAAGATCTAAATTGTTAAGCGTATTAGATGTAATATAATAAGTGATTTTTATTAAATGTGTACTGTACAACAAATTTCATTACAAAATTTCGAATTAGAATCATTGAGACGAATGATGAGAATCAAAAATAAAAAAAAAATCATTTTACAGTATTTCATGTACCATTGCACCACAACAACAGAGCGCTGTAAATCATTGTACATCGTAGTGCCTTTGCACGTGCTAGTGGAATTCTGTATTGTAATAATTTACGAAATAAAATTCCTAGATACTGTATCGTATACAATACTACAAAAATACTTGGGATTTTCATCGTTACAACTAACATGATATTATTTTATTACATACAGTAGATGTATGGTTAAGACAATTTTTATTTAAACTTTAAAGATGACGGTTAATAGTCCTAAATATTTTATACCATAACATGTTGCAAAATTATATAGAATTAATTATTAATAAATAATATTTTTTTTACAATAAAGTGAAAAATTTGATTTGATTTTTTATTATAGGATTACGTGAAATTGTTATGCGACGACAACTTATTCTCGGTCACGCTATACAATATACAACGGCGGCATACACTTATATTTGATGTAGGGGTTCTGTAATTTTATAAATTTTTTACTCGAAATTATTGTAGGTGGGAGGTCAAATAGATTATTTAAAGCCGTTTAACAATATATTAATAAATAAATAATAATAATCAAAAGATTGGTGATATCATTTAAAATTAAAATTGGAATTAATTATATAAATTTAATTAAATTATCTATACTATACGCGACCCTTTCTAATAACACTTGGTTTGAAATTATTACAACTAATTGAAGATGGTTATTTGATTGGTAAAAAAAAATAATTTTTTAAAATAATTTTATTATCCTGGATACAGTATATAAGGATTTATTATCATCATTATATATTGATTTGTTATGGGTTATAACATAAATCTTTTGTAAAATTTAATAAAAAATTCGTTATTTATAAAGTTTATTTCAATCAATTGATTTGGTTAAAATTAATTAAAATACTAACAGTAATAGGTTTTTATAATAATGAAAATTCTCATTTGCGATAAATAAAAATAGGAATGAACATTTTACTTTTTAACTAGAAAATTTAAGTGATTTGTAATTACAATGAAAAAAGTATTTTTGTTATTAAATTTGTTTATGATATCGGTGGAAAAAATATTCATTTCGCCATTTAAATATACAAGTATGTATTGAGCATTCTCAATTTAGGATGGATTATTAGAAAGACCCTGCTCACCCAGACTGGCTACCAAATATCCTCCTTATTCTGTCCCAAAATCTAGTCATTACATAAACCGTATATGCTGTACTAAAGAGCTCGGCATAAAGATGACTGGGTAGATTATACTCAAATCCTAATAATCGATAAATACACATGGCTATGAGCTGTAATATATCTATCGAGAAGAGAATTATCTGGTGAATAAGGTCCCGATAATTTTGTTCACTTCTGTTGGATTTTACAATGCGAAGAAGTTCTCTATAAAAAATAATCTCGAGAAAAATGTAGTAAATGCGAAAAAAGGGTACCATCATCTCTCGTACAGTCCAAGAAGTAGGTATAAACGAACATGCTGGACTGCAGTACGATCCCATGCACTTGACGGCATCTATTATAGTAATTATCACCAAGGAAGTAATTTCTGAGGTGCGTAATACAAGAACAATTAGATGGAAGCGTTTAAAGGCTAGTCTTTTAACAGGCTCATAGACCGCTTCACATCGTTGATACGAAAGATGCAGAATACCCGTTTTGGAAACAACATATGCGGCGTATTTGATCACATCCAGAGAGTAAAATAGGCGTACTGATGTTTGATCAGTACACCGTGTAAAACTCACGGAGTTTGCACGGCAGTCTGGGCTCTTGCTCGCATTTAAGCAATTTGAACTGGCTATTACTTGAGGTAGCATGATTATTTCGTTAATAAGGACCGCCAGATTGACGGCATAGAGGAGCCACTTGGCCTCCTTGATGTTATTCTTTACAAATGTTCTTGAAAAAGAATCGATCGTAAGGATAAAGCTTGCAGAAAGAAGCCACGATGATATTATAATTCCAATCGAACCGATAGAGGTTGAATCTGTTTTTAATCCGATCATATTTTGAGTTATGTATTGCGATAATATTTAGTGAATATGTTTATTTTGAATTTTGGAATTGGGGATAACAGTAATAGATTTTTATTTAATTTCTGGTGAAAGCGATTTATGTCAAAATCCCAAAACTTAGGCACAATTAAGTATAATTATTAATTGATAGTTGTTTTGTGTACAAATATAAAGGTCACAGTGTGATCATGAATGTTGATTACTCATTCATTGTAAATATTTACGTAGTTGAGAATTTCTACGTTGAAAACAAAATCATTCCAAAACTGTTATAGCGCGTTCTATTATTTTTTTATTTATCAAACAGTAAACAGTATTTAAAGATGTAAGACACAAAAGGTGGTTTTTCTTAAGCCGTATGTCGGAGTATTCCATCGAAATCAAGTTTAAATCAGAATTTACAGAATTTGGATTTATTTACGCCATTCAAAAATAACAAAATAAGCAATCATAATGTAACAAATAAATTTTTTAGTTAGAAGGTATAGTCTCACATACTATGAATGTTTTTAATATTTTTGATAAATCAATTTTTTTTTGTAGGAAAACATTATTTTTTTATTTTATTTGTATATTATCAACCTGCGATGGATAATGAGAAGATGTATTATATAATTTATAATCACATATCTTTAATCACTCCAAAGTCCTATTGATTTTGATCTATTTTTTTTTTTTTTTTGCACTCCAAAAGCTTTCATCTAAATATTTGTTAAAAATATTCATAAAAGGATGACAAAATATATCAATAAAGACAGAGAATTTGGACAACTCGAATTCGCCTCTTGAGTTATGATTATCATGCTAGAGTAATGGTTATACGAATTCTACTCTCGGTTAGTGACTGACTCGCCGATTACTCGTCACATGTTTTTTTCAAAATACAATATAAACATACATTATATTAATTGCAGTAGTTTAATTTAGGATGTATAGTATCAAAATTAAAACTGTGGCACTTTCATTTATGCTACGCATTTTATAACGGTAAACGTATTTAACTAACTCTAATGATTTTGATTTTGAAATTTCGCTTAAAATCGTCAAGTGGGGAATGTAGTCTCGCGATCTTAACTTTGTTACTACAAAGAATTACGTACAGTATTTGTTTTTAATTGTTTAATTGGCTAAACTTATGCAAAATTGAGCAGAAAGTTCATTGTTGCAATATTAATCCAAACATTTGAGAAGTAGTCAAAGATTCTATCAAGGTTATAAATACTTCATAATCTTTTATCTCGAAAGGCCCACCCGATTACCTTATGGCAGTTCATAAATTTCTTTCATATAAAACCATTTTTTCTTGGTGAATTCATTGGAATTCAAGATGAGATTTCTAAATCCAAAAAAGATCAGAACTAGATTCATAACATATTGCCTTCTCTGGATTAGCTGTTTTTTATTTAACGAAAAAAAAATAAAATTATAGCCCTCTAAAATTTTACTTGGGACTTTCACGACAAAAACTAGCTAATTTGGATCATTATTGTATATATTGAGAAATAGTCAACTGTAAATTTGTCTCGGCTGTCGCGAAAGGCAAGTCCCTTCTTTCTGCCTCTTACACCCCTGTTATACCCGAAACCCCTGTATAAGTGTCGTGAAGTCAAGGATTGCGCCGTGACTAGTGATTAGACTCCTGACCCGCGACACTATGAATCAACGCAAAAAAATTTTAATCACGTAAATTATTAACTTTAAAGATTCTCGGGTTACATTTATGCAAACAAATACAGTAGCGATCATGTGAAAACAGACATAAACTCAAATCCATTTTGATACCAAATATGTACACCACATTGTTGAGATACAGTACCAATTAATTATAGTAATTTAAACTTTATTTATTATTAGTACAAGTTAGGACTATTGCAGTACGACCGTTTTTTAATTTTTTAAAAAGCGATTTTTCGTAAAGGGTAATAATATAAAGGCGTATCGTTTGTAACCTATTTGTGAATCAAATAAAAAAAAATACAGTAATATAGTAACACTATTTGATCACTAGAAGTTTAATATTACCATTTTATTTTTTCCTTTGTTTTATTTAAGAAAGACATGATCATTCGATGCTTATTTTACTTAACAAGTAACCAATTATTGTATTACGGTAATGTGTTCTGTCTGATACCATTTTTATTGGTATTGTCAGAGAAAAAGTGGATCATCGAAATCATTCGATATGCAGTAATTCGTAAAAAACCTCACTAACATTAATTAGTTCCTCAAACTGAATTCTAAGATGTTGTTTTTGGAATGATTTGTCGACAAAACTGAAAATTGTATTTTTAAAAGATAAAATATAATAATTAAGATGAATGCCTAACAAAAATAAAAAAAACTCTCAAAGTTGTGTTCGTATAGGTCGTAGTAAAAATCTTGATATAATAAAGTCCGACTGCAGCTTGTTGAGAAAATTCATGCAACGCTTATTTGTGACGTGGAAAAAAGCATGTATAATTATTATTGAAAAAAGGTTTTTTGATTTTGATTGCAAATAAGTATTAATCAAATACAACTGAAATAAAATTAAATTTGCAAAAATAATTTTAACGTGATATTTCTCGTCGATTATATGTATTGCTGTAAATTTATTCACTTTTTAACGCCAGGGATAGATAGAATGTCAGGGTTCTGCTTTTTCGCTGAACTGTCTATCAAAGATCCCTTTTATTTTATCCCAAAATCTGGTCATTACAAAAATAGTAAATGCCGTGCTGTACAGCTCGAAATAAAAGTGAGTAGGTAGATTATACCTAAATCCAATTAGTCGATAAATACACGTAGCTATAAGTTGGAATATATCGATAGAAAAGAGAACTATCTGATGAATGAGGTCTCGGTAATTTTGTCCTCTTTTGGTGTATTTTACAATATGAAGAAGTTCTCTGTAAAATAGAACCTCGAGAATAATGTAATAAACGCGAAAAAAGGGCAGCACCATTTCTCGTATAGTCGAAGAAGTAGGTATGAATGAACACTCTGGGTGACAATACGATCCCAGACACTTAGCAGCATCTATGGTGGTAATTATCACCAAGGAAATAAATTCGAATGCGCGTAATACAAGAACAATATAGTGAAAGTATTTAAACGATAATCTTCGAACTGGCTCATAAACTGATTTACAGTACATCGTTGATACGAAAGATGTAGAACACCCGTTTTAGCAATAATATATGCGGCGTATTTAATTGCATCCACTGAGTAAAATAAACGTACGGAGGTGTAATCAGAACACCTTGTAAAACTAACAGCGTTCGCACGACAGTCTGGACTTTCCCTTGCATTCGAACAATTTGAACTGGCGATTACTTGGGGTAGCATAATGATTTCGTTAACGAGGACTGCCAGATTGACGGCATAGAGGAGCCACTTGGCCTCCTTGATATTGTTATTTACGAGTGTTCTAGAAAATGAATCTGTTGTGAGGATAAAGCTTGCGGAAAGAAGCCATGTTGCCACGATAATTCCAAGTGGACCAAGAGAGGTTGAATCCGACTTTAATTCGACCATGATTTGTATTGTAATAAAAATTAATTAATATGTTTACTTTGTATTTTGAATTGAATAATAAAAGTTATTTAGGTCTCGATAAAAGCAAGCTTAGGTAGGGAAAAATTCATGAAACCTAAGTATCGTTGGCAAGCTGTATATAAAGACAAAGGTCACAAGATGCACTTTATGATCAAAAGTAATATTGAACGCACATTCATTTGTAAATATTTACGTATTTAAGAAGTTCTACGTTGAAAAAAATCAAGATTTCGTTTACTGTATTAAATTATTTTTATTTACTGAACAGAAACAGACTTGATAAGTTAAATATGTAATACACAAAAAAAATTTTTTTTATAAAGCTGACATGCTGTATTGTATATAATTTCAGTACATGTGACTTTGTATCGCCACAACGGATATGATTCTTATATTATTTTCTTACAGTCAAGTGAAGATATAGTATACGTACTGTAATTGACAAAGCTTTTTGGTATTGATCGAATGTTTTTATTAAATGAAGACAATTTTTTTTGCTAATTGTTGTGCACAAAGTTAATATGATTAATAAAAAATGAAAAGATGCTTTTACTGACGATGGTAAAACAAAAGGTACGAACTAAAATGTAGTTTGCACTCATTTTTGCATTACCCTTTCTATATTACATTAACATTCATGTGAAACCTTTTTCTTTAGATATCACAGAAAATCGTTTTATTACAGCCTGTTATATAATATGCTGTTTTAATTGGCTTTATTATTCATATGGACTTGACAAATTAATATACTGATAATTTTAATATTTTAGTGTTGTGGGAACCGACATTGAGGCGCGTCGCGTAACAATAGTAATAATGATAGCAGAATAATGTAATAATTGATAATAGCATGTAACTAGGTGGACGCGTTAACAAGGCATTTAAATAGGATAGTTTCCCATAGTTTGTAGGGTAATCTACTAAAGTAAGTTTTGTTCATGTCAATAATAGTTCGTTGGGGTTTTAAACACTCTTTTACTTTCTCTCGCTTTATTTAATAAAATGCTACAACTTATGTGCTGAAACTTTAACATAATGTAGAGTGATCAAACAATACAGTAGTATGAAACTAGACTCGGTGATGCACACATCCCATGGTTTTCTTTATCGTCTTGAATGTGTTTATATATGAGTGAGAACAATTAGTTAGCTGAAAATGGCAAGGCTTATAGTATACATTATATCCTACGGCACACAACTATAGAGAGAAATGTAGAAAATGTATGATAGTGAAAATGGTACACATTTTACGTTTTGTTTAATAATAATTAAATTTATAAAATTTTAAAATAGTTAAGTTAATAAATAATCTATTATTTACAATAAAGTATAAAAATTTGATTTGATTTATATAAAAATCAATTTAAAAAATTTACCGAAGACTAACTTATTCCAAATCACGCGATATATATTTGAATTAATGTAAGGGGCTATTATAATTTTAAATTTTCATTTGCTACTACAGTATGGAAATCTATTTTTACGGTCAAGGATTACGCAGTGCTCCTGTTCAAATCATCGCTTGTATTTAAACAACCGTTTAATAAGTGACAACTTATATGAATATTGATCAGAAAGTTCATTGCGATGTAAATCGTCAACATTTGAGAATCGGTCAGAGTCGCTATCAATTATCTCAAATACTTCGTAGTTTTCTACCTCAAAAGACCCACCCGATGACCTTATAGGTGTATCATAATATTTTCTCATAGAGAACCACATATTTGAGGAAAATGTATTGGAACATAGCGTTAGATCTCTGAATCCAAAAGAGGGGCCATAATTCCTGTTACAATATATTGCCTTCTTTGGATTAATCACACAACTTTTAGTTGCGCGTCCCTCATTAAATGAAAAAATAAAGCTTTCGTTTGTTTCTTTGTATCCTGTTGATTTTTCTTTTCTCCATCCAATTGGGTTATACCCGCCTAGAATTTCACTCGTACCTTTCACCTTCAATACCAGTATAGTTTTCAATTTATTATCGCACTTCTTATGAAAGGAGTCGATTGTTTTTCCGTCCCGGTTGCTGCTAAAAGCGAGATGAAACTCGCAGGAATCACTTCCGCTGATCCAATAAGCTATTTTTGCAATGTGTTCTTGATTAATAATACTTGATGATACATCCTTGTATTGCTCAGGAATTGGTTGATTTAGTTGCTCTAGTACGTCCTTTATATTTGGGCGGAATTTGGTGGAAGAATCCCATAAATTATAATCAGCAATAAGTGATGAAGGAATCATTTTTGGTTAATTTTTAAACTACGAATACAGATCTATTTAAGACCATTGTACTGTATATATAGTACAAAAAAATATCAAACTTATGTAATAAAAATTGTGTGATTTAAATCATAACATTTAATTTAACCGCATATTTTCAAAATCAATGTACAACATGACTATAAATTAATTTAAACCAGATTGTGCTTAAATAACACTGGTTCGACCAAACTACTTAGCTTAATAATTCTTATTATCTAAATAAAACGTGGATTTACATAGTAAAAATTTATTGTATGACGCAATCATGTTACTGTGAGGATTAATTTAACTCTTCAAGTTGTAGGTTTTAACTTCTGAAGCGGAGACGTGAAAATATTTGGACCAAATTCCTAAAAATTTCATAAAACAGCCATTTTAAAATAGACATTAAAATATACATCAAATGGTATTCATTCATAATGAACCAATTTTAATTCTAAATGACTACTCAAATTAT